CCTTTGATTTATCAACAGTCCCACAGATTTTGGTAGCACAATGTTAAAGATGTTCTTTGCTTGATGAGGACCTCGAGCAGTTGCCTGTAAAAAAAATATTTTGCAATAAAAGCTGGAAGAATGGTTAGGTTTAGGGTTAAGGTTTAGGATTGGGGTTATGGTTAGGGTTAAGGATTAAGGGTTAGGGTTATGGTTAGGGTTAAGGTTTAGGATTGGGGTTATGGTTAGGGTTAAGGATTAAGGGTTAGGGTTATGGCTAGGGTTAAGGATTAAGGGTTAAGGTTTAGGATTGGGGTTATGGTTAGGGTTGAGGATTAAGGGTTAGGGTTAGGTTTAGGGTTAAGGCTTAAGGGTTTAAGTTTAGGATTAGCCTTGGGAACGCCATCCTGGTGCATCAGTCCAGCCTCACCTCCTCTCCTGCAGGTGCTGAACCTGTTCCTAGCCTTGCTGCTGAGCTCCTTCAGCGCCGACAACCTGGCGGCCACGGACGACGACGGCGAGATGAACAACCTGCAGATCTCGGTGATCCGCATCAAGAAAGGCATCGCCTGGACCAAGGCCAAGGTGCGCGAGTTCATGCAGGCGCACTTCAAACAGCGCGAGGCCGACGAGGTGAAACCCCTGGACGAGCTCTACGACAAGAAGGTGAACTGCATCGCCAACCACACCGGCGCCGACATCAACCGCGACATCGACTTCCAGAAGAACGGCAACGGCACCACCAGCGGCATCGGCAGCAGCGTGGAGAAATACATCATCGACGAGGATCACATGTCCTTCATCAACAACCCCAACCTGACCGTGCGCGTCCCCATCGCCGTGGGCGAGTCGGATTTCGAGAACCTCAACACGGAGGATTTCAGCAGCGACACGGATCCCGACGGCAGCAAAGAGGTGCTGGGAATTCATTCGAGTCATTTCACCTTCTGGAGAGCTCCTGGCAGGGAAAACCACGTGGTTCCTGTGCAAAACTTCTGTCTTGTGATGTTTTGGCGCTCAGAACAGGAGTTTCTTGTGCTGGTAGCTCTATGGAAAGCCACAAGTCTTTATATAATATATAAATTATATATAATAATAAATAACATATAACATATAACATATAATATACAATATACAATATACAATATACAATATATATAGAATATAGTATATAGAATATATAATTTATATGTAATATACAATATATAATATACAGTATAGAATATATAAATATATAATATATAATATATAATAATATAAAATATATACATCATGATAGGGTGGCCTGGGTTGAAAGGGACCTTAAAGATCATTTTGTTCCAACTCCCCTGTCATGRACATTCCATAATTTACTCAATCCTGTCTGCCCTGTGAACGTGAGACATGAGTTGGGTCAGGATCTCAGTGAGTGAAGTGAGGAAACAGCTCTCATCGCAGTAAATGTGGTATAAATCACCAATAAATGGCTGAAGTTCGATATTTGCTGGGAATTGATTATTGATTGGATCAGGGGTTGTTTTGTGTTGCAGAAACTCGACGAGACCAGCTCCTCTGAGGGCAGCACCATCGACATAAAGCCTGAGGTGGAAGAAGTGCCCGTGGAGGCACCGGAGGAGTACCTGGACCCCGATGCCTGCTTCACTGAGGGTGAGAGGGGAAGGGAGGAGGAGGAATTGGGGTGTTCTGGGGCCCAGCTCATTTTAGGATTAGACCAGCCTGGATCAGGACTGGTTCTCAGCTTAGCTCAAAACCCTTTTTGGATGCTGCTCAGCTAATTTTGAGCGATTTGCAAAGTGAAGCTCTCAGAAGTGCATCCATTGTCGGATGTAGATCATGGAATGGGGCAAAGGTTTGGGTTGGAGGAGATCTTAAAGCTCATCCCAATTCACCTCTCACCATCCCAGGCTGCTCCAAACCCCTCCACCCTGCCCTTGGACACTTCCAGGGATCCAGGGGCAGCCCCAGCYCYYCTGGGCCACCTCCCCACCCTCACGGGGAGAATTTCCAAAGAATTGTAGATGACCTGTATTAGCACAAGATGATTTTTGTTCAGCTGAAGCCTCTGAGAAGCAGAGTACTTTTCCTTTCCTGGCCTCGATGCGTTTGAGCGGCCGATCCSTTAMGGGAATTCCCATGGCAAAGATGCTKTAAATGGTTCAAGGTTATTTTATCAGCAACTTTTCCACTTGTCTCCTCAAGAGCATGGACCTCACTGAGTAGAACRAGCTGATCTGTTCCCAAATTTATCTTAATTCCAGAGCCCGGGTGCGGAACGGCGAAACCAAAATCCTAAAAAACGAAACTAAAATCCTCAAAACCACAAAAATTTTAACTGACACTCAGCGTGTTCATATTTTGAACCATCGAAACTGCTTCCAGACAGTGATAATTTCATGTTTTTCCCTGAAATGCTGCGTTTTCTGAAGGTGTGCCCTGTGCCTGTTGCAGGTTGCATGCAGCGYTGCAAATGCTGTCAGGTCAACATCGAGGAGGGGTTGGGAAAATCCTGGTGGACCTTGAGGAAAACGTGTTTCCTGATCGTGGAGCACAACTGGTTTGAGACTTTCATCATCTTCATGATCCTCCTGAGCAGCGGGGCCCTGGTGAGTGGAATGGGTGAAATTCAAAGTTTTTCAGCTCAGGGATGTCTAATTGTGGATGGAAAAAAGCAAACTTGGGAATTTTTATATGGGAAACAGCGAAATCCATCGTGGCACCGTACAAAAACCTTTATTGGTGATTTTAGTTTAGTTTAAATCAAGAACAAAGCCTGCAAATCTGGGTCTGATCCCAGTTTGACTATGTGTTATTTATTCAGGAATTTCCTATTTGGTAGGGTTTTTTTGGTTTATTTGTTTTCTGTTTGTTTTGTTTGTTGAGTTTTCTGTTTTGTTCTGTTTTTTGTTTTGGGGGGGTTTGTTTGGTTTTTATGTGGTTTTGGGTGGTTTTTTGTTTGGTTTTTTTTTTCTTTTTAGTTTGACATTGCAGCATCACAACTTTCAAAGGAGACAAAACCCATCATGTAACAAACAAAATTCATTTCACCGCGTTTGATTTCTACATTCTTGATCTAAAAACACCCATTCAGCTCATCCACAACTGCCAAGGTATCCCAGGACCGTTTGAATCTCCTGGATAACAAACCAGGCAATAAATCCCAATTAATTACATCAATTTTCCCCAGGCTTTCGAGGATATTTACATCGAGCAGAGGAAAACCATCCGCACCATCCTGGAGTAYGCCGACAAGGTGTTCACCTACATCTTCATCCTGGAGATGCTGCTCAAGTGGTGCGCCTACGGCTTCGTCAAGTTCTTCACCAACGCCTGGTGCTGGCTGGATTTCCTCATCGTGGCTGTATGTATCCTCTCCTTTTCTGCATCTTGGGAGGATGTTGGCAATGTTTGCTCCTGAAATCCCCTCCTGAATCCTAGATTTAGGAATGGTTTAATCCCAGTTCATGTCTGTGAGTGCCCAAATCCAGGGGAAAATGCTTTGGGTGCCATCAATGGGATAAAACTTTTTGGGTGTTGTCAATGGGATAAAACCCCTTGGGTGTTTTCAGTGGGGTAAAACTCTGGAACCCTTTGGGTGTTGTCAATGGGATAAAACCCTTTTGGGTTCTGTCAGTTGGGTAAAACCCTTTTGGGTGGTGCCAATGGGATAAAACCTTTTTGGTGCTGTCAGTGGGGTAAAACCGTGGAACCCATTGGGTGTTGTCAATGGGGTAAAACCCTTTTTAGTGTTGTCAGTGGGGTCAAACCCTTTTGGGTATTGTCAATTGGATAAAAACCTGGAACCCTTTGGGTACTCTCAATGGGGTAAAACCCTTTGGATGTTGTCAGTGGGGTAAAACCCTGGAACCCTTTGGGTGCTGTCAATGGGGTAAAACCCTTTTGGTGTTTTCAATGGGGTAAAACCCTGCACCTCTTTGGGTGCTGTGGGTGTTTCCCGTTCAGCTTTGGGATTTGTGACCGAGGAGGATTTTCCAGCCCCTCATCTGAAAATAGGATTTTCTGGGAGAGCTGCCCGTGTGTGGAGCTGCCCCTGGGAGGTGTCAGCAGTGGGAGCTCTGTGCAGATGTGATGTTCTCGCTGATATTTCAGGGATATTTCCATTTTTCCTTGCGTGGTTAACKCAGCAAAATCTCCCCCATCCCACCACCCCACAAGGTCTGTTCCAAACAGCAGAGGATTTGTGAGAATCTCAAGGCTTGGGAAGGTTTTTTGTGCACAAAGGAGTTCATCATCACCCATCTTCTGTTCAAAAATTCCAGTGCCCAGGAATGAAAAAGGATTGCACCAAACAGGAAAAACAGCTCAGAGGTCGTAGAAGGAGTGAGGGGTTGGGATAAATCTGCCCTGGAATCCCCCTGCAGAAATCCTTGGGAGGGAGGATAAATCTGAGAAATAAAAAAGAGAGAATAAATGGTAGAATGAGAAAAAAAAAGGCAATGGAGAGAAGTTTTAGCAAGAAATTTGGCTCTGAAGCCCAGCGAGGGAGTTTAAAACGAATGGAATTTGCGCTGTCCAAAGTGGTAGAAAATTGTGTGGTTCAACAGGAAATTCCAGGACCAGGAAATTCAGAATCCCAAGTGTTTGGATTGTTTTAAAATGTTCCATCACGTCCATCAGTGGCTGGAGTGACTTGCCCCAAGAGCAAATATTTTTAAAAAAGAATTCCCAGTTTTTCCAAGCTTCTCCTTTGGAACGTTCTGGGTATGATTCAGTTCTGCTCAGCACCGTTATCACTCTGGAAATATTCCTGAGTAGGTGGAAGGAACTATGCTTGGAATTCAGGGGCAGAAGTGACTCAAACCCAGCATTTCCTGTAGGAAAATTGAAATTCTGATTTTTTTTACTTTTTTTTTAAAATCTTCTCTCAACACCTTTCCTTGGACATGGCTTGCGTGTTTTAAGTCTTATTTTTTAAAAATAACCCCAAATCTCTCTCACTGCCTAAAGATAAAGTTTAATTCCAGATGTTGTGAATGAAGTGCAGCTGTGGCACAAATTTAATTTCCTTCCCAAGCATTTGGTGGAATAAAGATCAGCAAATTCCCAGGCAGGTAACACAACGTACAGGGAGCTGAAAATGAATGGAGTTTATGCTGCCCAAAGTGATAGAAAATTGTGTCGTTCAATAGGAAATTTCAGGATCAGGAAATTGAAATTTCAGGACCAGGAAATTTAGAATCCCAAGTGCTGGGCCCAGAAAATTTCATTTGGAATTCTCAGGGCTTTGGGAGGAATTCCTCTTCTCCCTCAGTGTCACAGATGGAAGAGCTGCAGGATTTTCCCCTCCAGAAAAATGTGAAAATCAGATTTGAGATGCCAAAATCTCAGCAAAACTTCAAAAATCCTTGTGTCCTGTAGCTGTCAAATCCTGTTTTTTTCCCCCAAATGTGGTGGCGTGGTTTGATTTGGTGTTGGGGCAGCAGTGATCCAGGAGGGCAGGGATGGAGCTGTGCATTTTAACAAACGCTCTCGGATGTTATTTTGCAGGTTGCTGTAGCATTTTCCAATTCCCCTCCTCCTCCTCCTCCTCCTCCCCAAAGCTTCCCGGGTGTGTTTGTGAAGACTTTTGCTGGGTAATCGTGAAGGATTTTCTGCTTTTCAGTCCATCTGGGATTCCCTTGGTCCGACCTCGGTGCTTGCTGTGTCTTCTGTCAGAATATCCTCAGGAAAAAACACTGAAACATCCCCAAAAAACCATTTCTGGGATGCTCTGAGTGTAGTCCTGCTTGGGAATTTTCCCAGGGGGAAGAAGCTCTAAAAATTCAGATTTTGGGTTCTGGGAATCACGGAATGGTTTGGGTTGGAAATTAAAACCATTTAATTCTGAGTCCCCTGCTGCGGCCAGGGCCGCCCTCCATACCAAAGTGGGAAAAGCACATGAAAATAAAATGAAAAATCTCACTTTTCCCACACACCATTGATGCATTTGAAATGCGGATCTGGAATATACGTGTGATTCTTCATCATGCTCAGAATGAATTCTGCGTTACTTTTCTAATAATTTTTATAAAATAATGATGCACAGCAAGTGTCCTGCTCTGAGAACTCAGCTCAAACCCATGTGAGGAGGAAACAGAAAAAAAAATGTATTTTTCTGTTTTTTGTTGCTGTACATGGATGTCTTTTTCTTCCTTCAAAAGGGTTCATGTCTTATCTGTGTCTGTAATGTGATAGTGGTAAAAAAATGGGAATGGTGGGGAAAATGGGAATAGTGGTGAAAATGGGAATACTGATGAAAATAGGAATAATGGTAAAAATGGGAATAGTGGTGAAAAATGGGAATAGTGGCCAAATTAATTAAATATTAAAAAGCTGTTTCCCCTCAGTGTTTAATAGGATCCCGGGTGTGCAGCTCATTGAGGGTGGAAAACACCAAATGCACCCCGTGTGTAACATGAATAGAATTTTACAAATCAGCAAATCTGTCTGGAAATCCCAATAAAAACTTCACAAATGAAGCGATGTCCCCATATCCCAAAGAATTTCTTCCCCACATGAGGCCAGAGCTCAGTTTACACAATATGAACAAAAAAAAATGGCTCCAACAAGGTTGGAACTCGAGTTTTGGGATATCAGGGACTGAAATCTGAAAGGTTAAATAAAATATATAAAAGGGTGTATAAAATAGCCAAAAGGGGATATAAAATATCTAAAAAGGAATATGAAATATCTGAAAGGGAAAATAAAACACACAAAAGGGATTGTGAAATATCTAAAAGGGAATATAAAATACCTACTAAAAGGTAAAATAAAGTATCTAAAAGGTCATATAAACTATCTAAAAGGGATATAAAATAAAAATAAAATCCACGAAAGGGATTGTGAAATATCTAAAAGGGAAAATAAAATATCTCAAATGGAATATGAAATCTCTAAAAGGGAAAATAAAATCCACAAAAGGGGTTGTGTGAAATATCTCAAAAGGGATTATGAAATCTCTAAAAGGGAAAATAAAATATCTTAAATGGGATATGAACTCTCTAAAGGGCAGATCAAACCCCAAAGCACTGTGAGCTGTCCCAAAGGGATATGAGCTCTCTAAAAGGGCAGATCAAACCCCCAAAAGGAATATGAAATCTCTAAAATAGAAAATCAAACCCCAAACACCGTGAGCTGTCCCAAAGGGATATGAAATCTTTAAAAGGACAAATCAAGCCCCAATCACCGTGCTCTGTCCCAAGGAATATGAAATCTCTAAAATGAAAATCAACCCCCAAGCACCGTGAGCTGTCCCACAGGAATATGAACTCTCTAAAATGGAAAATGAACCCCAAATCACCGTGCTCTGTCCCAATGGGATATGAACTCTCTAAAATGAAAATCAACCCCCAAATCACCGTGCTGTGTCCCAATGGGATATGAACTCTCTAAAATGGAAAATCAAACCCCAAATCACCATGAGCTGTCCCAAAGGGATATGAAATCTCTAAAATAGAAAATCAAACCCCAAAGCACCGTGAACTATCCCAATGGGATATGAGCTCTAATAGGACAAATCAAACCCCAAAGCACCGTGATATGAACTCTCTAAAATGAAAATCAACCCCAAATCACCGTGCTCTGTCCCAATGGGATATGAACTCTCTAAAATGGAAAATCAACCCCCAAATCACCATGCTCTGTCCCAAAGGGATATGAAATCTTTAAAAGGACAAATCAAGCCCCCAAATCACCATGCTGTGTCCCAGGCCGATGTGGACCCCGGCGCCGTTCCCAGCCGCGCTGTGCYGGTGCTCCCCGTGTGCAGTGTGTGGATTTCTCTGTATTCTTTCTCATAGGTCCCTCTAACA